TGTTTTTTCCTTGAACTTTCACATGTTTAATAACATAATATATTAGCATTTTAAAACCTTCTGTAATGGTGATGTTATGTGTGTTCTTGGAGGAAGAAACCGCGTTTGCAGATTTCAGTTTGATGAGTTTTGTCTCTAAAGGCTCAATACGAATGTAGCAACAAATGTTTATAAGAAACGTAACTGGTGAAATTTAATATCACAACAAATTCCGTAACAACTTCCTTCGAGGGACACAGCATATGGCATACCCGAACATGCAACACATGTATTACCCAGGCGCTCAACACACACATGACTTACATACCTCCTCTCCTGAATACCATCTGTACCGTCTTTTCTTGGTTGATTTGTAACCTGTTTTGTTGCGCCCAGGTTACTAGTCGCTTGAATGTTTCCTGCAAGTCACTTTTATTCGTCGAGCCTAGGGCCATATTGTCAGCATAGGTATATAGCGACGTTGCGGGTAGACATACTTTCCTGATGCCGGCCGTGTGGATGTTGAGTAAGAGTTTGCTTAGTGGATCCCCTTGTAATACCCCTCTGGTTTGTACGATTTCTTTTGATGTCGTTATGGTGTGGGCCTAGTGGATCCCCTTGTAATACCCCTCTGGTTTGTACGATTTCTTTTGATGTCGTTATGGTGTTGTCGATTCTGATCAGGCTGTGGGTCAGGATGTTGTGGATTAGGATGGATGTGCTTTTATCCAGTCCTATCTTTTCCAGCGAGTATCTGTCTGTTCACACTGTCAAAGGCTTTTGTGTAGTCAATGAAAATTGTGTAGTACTTCTGTTTTGGGGTTCGGAGAGCCTTCTTCATGTCGTTTAGCAGGTTTTCTATTGCTTGTAGGCAGGAGCGGACTCTTCTAAACCCAAACTGCTGTTGAGGGATTTATGGATCAGCTATGTTCGTGATTCTTTTCGTTAGTAAGGTTGTCAGCAGTTTGAATCAGCTATTTTCTAGGGCTATCCCCCTGTATGAGTTGGGGTCGTCAGTGGCACCCTTGCCTTTTATAGAATTTTGATATTCGACACACTCCAGGGATCTGGCAGCTCACCAAGTTCCAGGCACTGGTTGAAGAGGCCTTCCCAAGTTTCTATGAGTAGCGGGCAGGAGACTATTAAGTTTGTCGCATATGGGCGATTTTCTCCAGTAAGGTTCAGAATGTCTGTAAAATGTGTTTGCCAAGTCTCCATCTGGTACTTTCCTTTATCTCAGCGCCACGAAAGGGTCAGTGATGGCTGCTGCTGCTGCTGCTAGTTTCAGTCCTTCATTTTCCATATAAGTGTTCCTTTCATCCTTAAGAAGGATTTTGTACTGGTTCCTTGCCATCAAGTATGTCGCTAAGTCTTGGGAGAGTCCTGACAGTTTTGCTTGGTGTAAGGCTTGTAGAGTAATCTGTCTTTTTCTGTAACAGTGCACATCGTACCATGGCTTTGCTTGTCTTTTCTTGACAGATTATTGTGGATTGGAGTAGCTGTTGTATCTGTTGAGTTGCTTTTGTAACACTGCTCTGTATGGCTAATTGAATTGACTCCAATTCCTCTCTTGCTTCTGCTAGGACTTGCAAATCAAGCTTTCTCGATACTTTTGTGGCTCTGTTCTGATGGACTGACATTGCATTAGCCTGCATGCCGAAGGTAGCTATTATTACTGGATCTTCAGGATGTATTAGTGAGCTAGGCTAGACGAGTAGTCCACTGTTTTTTGTCTTACACGCATGTTGTTTCCTCTGCAGAGTATGATGTCTATTGTGCTGCTTCCATTGGGTGCGAGATATGTCTTTTGCTCTGCATTGCCTATTAGCCTAAAGCCTTCTTCTTCGAGAGCTTCTCCCGTAGGGTCTTCCCTCGTTTCTGTTGTACTAGAGTGTGTGCTGAGTATTTCCCTGGAAGCTCTATTGGGTCTGCAGTCATTGTTTCTATCAGTATGTAATAGTTGTGTATCTGCAATAATGATGATCATCAAGGCTGGTAAAATATTGAAAGTTGCAAGGAATGTATTTTGACAATATGTGTACTCCAAAATGGAGTCTGGAATACACTACCCACTCTTTGTAATTTTATAAATTAATTAAATCTGCTATACTTAGATCCATATTGGTGACATTAAAAATTCAAACCCAATAAAAATGGAATTGAAGTTCTCATCTATAAGCAGTAGATGTCAACCATTGTTTTGCTGGGATATTTTACAATCTAGGAGTGGTTTCGTTCACTTTTAAGAGCCGATCTTTGCATTACATGGCATCTGCTTCATATATGACAGGTATCTGACTTGAATCCTTCCCTAGTACCGGTTATTATTTTTTCTCATCCTCAGCCCAATAATGTGCCACATGCAATTGCTCTTTAATGCAAAGCACCATTTCTATGAATTGGCAGTCTTTCATTGATGCTGCATAACCTCTTCAGTTGATGCAGCAGTGAAGCTGATTTTGGAGTGTTGTGTCTGACATGACTAGTTTTAGTTACTTTAGATGCTCTATACAGAATAAATTCAAAGATTCCATTTAAGATGAAATAAGTTCAATAAGAAGTTGACAAATTACTCATTTATGTACATAATCTGCTAATGTGAATATAGCACCAAAATCTTGGTTATGATGTTATAGAGTGATATATATTCTTTAAGTAGGACTTGACTGTTCAGTATGGGGAATTGTGCATACTTATTGATATTTCTCATACATCAAATACACACTTTTGTAAACATTAGTGGAATTTTATCTTCGCGTCGCTTCTGTTGTGAGACAAATTAAACACCAATATTCTTGCATTGTGGTAAAATAATCATTGTATAACAATATTACGTATGTGTAGGTATGTTTATTAGCTACTGCGTCCCGCTGAATTTAACTTGTATTTGCAGTGGTCATCTGGAATAATTTCATTGTTTCAGCTGTACACTCACCCAGTACCCACAGTATCGATTTTCTGTACTTTCGTAGGTGGCAGAAAAGTATTAAGAGATTCACATTTTGCTAAAGCGCCTACATGGCACAGAGAGGGACAGCTTTACTCCTTTTTTAAGTGATGTATAAATTATTTTAGCGCTGAACGCTGTATAACCTGCAAAAACAAATGGGCAAAGGCTGTAATACACATGTTTTACGGTATTAGGTGATCTCTGGTCATATCCTCCAAACACGTAAAGCTACGTCTACACTCGTGCGCTTTTACGTTCGTCAATGGCATGCGTTATAGCGCAAGCAATAGCGCACGTAACGCATGCGTCTACGCATGCCTGAAGAGAATTGAACGGCAGCAGTTTTAGCAGCGCATGCCTCATTGCACGTGTTCCCAGCCTGAGTGGGTTTTGGTTCAATACACCGTGCGTCTCGCTTCTCAAGATGGCGTCTTCTGAAGAAGAAACTTTGTCGTTTATCGACATTTACAGGTCGTTTCAACTGTTATGGGACCACAACCATCGAGACTACACTAATAAGACAAAACGTAGCGATGCTTTGACTGAGATGAGCAGCAAGTTAAACATCGACGTGAAGAATGTAAAAAACAAAATTAATTAATGTAAAACATTTCTGTGAAGTTAAAAGTGAGGATCAATATATCATGTTGATTTAAACTTTTACACATTTTTAAACATGTTACGAATTTTTGAAGCAAGCTTTCCTGATGACACAGTTAACAGGAACAACCAAATGGGAATTTTAAAGGCATGTAACATACCCAGTCAACTTATTGTAGCAATTTACAACATTTATAAAAAAATCAACCTCATTGCAATAAAAATGGAATCTGATCTCTCAGAATTGGAATTGTTAAGATAAACCTTTGAGATGGCTGGTAATTTCATGTGGTGCTCAGTTAAACATAGAATATGGTGTGAGTGTGTAGTAACATTGTTTGCAGTGCTGATAGAAGTTTTGTTTAATTCTCTTTGTGACATGGCTGAAAACAATGATTCTTGTTGTCTGTGGAGATGATTCAGTATGTATGGCTCCTTTTTTTCAGTATTGCTCTGGCCCCTCCTGTGACTTCTTGGCCAACATATTTGTTGATACTTTACAATTTCTTTGAAAAACACAGTTTTATTTTCCTCTTGCTTTACTGTTATTTCAGAAGGCATCCCTGCATTGCTTGCCATATCTCAGTTTGTAGCAGTTGTTTGGCTATGGTGCAGGCAACTCAGGTTTGATTCTCCATCAGGCTTTTACAATCATCATGTCTACAGTGGCTTTGGGGACTCAAATTTAATTAATTTTCTTATGTGTTTGCAAATATTCTTTCTCTGTTCTTTCATTAAAATTCAAGAATGAGAGTTGTACACTTGGTTTCTCAGTGTGAAAGGTCAAAAGTACACCAGTATTTTATAACAGTGAAGCTTTATATGATGCACTGTGAGAATAGTATCAAGCATGTTAGACTAGGATGACTTGATTATGGATGGTGATTATTTCAAATGCAACAGAAACACAAACATTTGTGACATCACAAACATCAAACAAACGCTTGCCTGCTTGCTGCGTTTGCATTTTCAGATTGTTACATCACATAATGTTATTGATTTGGCAGCATACTATGCAGACCTTGTAATTATGGAAACAGGTGCTTGTGATTGGTTTTTTATGAGTGTGCATTTTTATAGTCTTCCTTATTAGATAGTTCATAAATAACTGCAATGAGAACCTGAAAGACTGCGATGTAGTTTTTAACTTGTCTATAAAAATACTCATTGTGGTGTACATTTTAG